TGTGGATGGACCAGAGTAAAGTATCCCCATCCGAGAATCCATTAAGTTGTTAATCATATGCGTAGCGAGGCTCCACAGAGGAGCCAGTGTCCTTTTTGGGTATCCTTTACGCCGGCTGCTTGGCTGCTTCACTGCCACAATTAATATGCGTCCAGCGATCGTAATCAATTCTCGCCACCGCGACGCATAGTCATCGTAGAACTCGCATCGCTGCCAGCACGAACACGTGCGGGTCATTAGTCGCAGTCACGCATTTTGAGTCGAGCCGGTGTCCGAGATGGAGTATATAGTATGACCCCCACTCCCACCTACTGACCATCCAGATCCCACACCACCTCCGCCTCCATCCACTTAAACAATCCACCGACATGGGCGACGGCGATTCCACCTTTAGCGGCATGTCCGTTTCGTTGATTTTAGTAGGAAATGATTTTGTACGCTTCGTTCAACTTGGATTTCGTTTTCGGCTTTTGGCGGTCAGCTGCCCTCCACGGGCTGCAAAATTTTATGAGTGGATGGAACTGGCATCTCTGGTCATGCCGGTCGCCTCTTTGTTTGGTTTACCTTAATGGGTTCTAATGAACCATGGCAACCAGCCGCCTATCAATAACTACTGATTCAGAGCCAAGGGTGTCGGCTGTCAGGCAGTAGAGCGAGGATCCGGAGAGCCTACTAAATTTTGGGTAGTATTACTAGATTATAACTTTACGTTATCAGTGGATGTGGATGTTTGTCAAATCCCTTAACCATCATTTAATATTTTACTATAAGAAGTTCATCTATGAACTGCATGTTTTCTAAATGGAAAAGATTCACATAATCAAACCAAAAAGTAACACCTATGGCCGTTTCAAGTTCGATTAGGAAACTTATTAATCAAACTTAGAACAGATTTAGTGTTTTTTCATAAACATATTTACTAAAGACAACAATTTACCACTGTCTGCTATGCATTAACCTAAGAACACTACGGCACTTAATGAGTCTGCCGCAATCAATTTTCCGAGTCACGTGTGAGGAAACCACGCAGCTAAAAGCAAACAATTTAGATCCCATAATATACTATGCTACCAAAAACCCCCAAAGAATCGATTCGATTTTGCCTAGGGCGCAAGGATGTGTACTATAGTTTGGCTTCCTTGCGAGCATTTTTATGATGGCAAAATGCCAGCACAGTAGGCAGGCTTTTAACCTTTTTGGCCTGCAAGCCAACGATTTCTTGTAGTTCCGATTAATGGATACTAATGCATGGCTAATACATTAGAGCGACTTTTGGGCCTCAAAATTGCTGGCACGTGCGGGACAAATACCGACAAATTTGTTATGATAAATAAACAAACATATATATATATATATATATATTTATTACTAATATCTGACAACAATTTATGCGGCCATTAACAGCGGCAATACAACGTGTTTATTTCAACATTCTGCCAAGCCGTTAAAAGTATAAAAAAATGTAGCCAAAGGGGGTAAAGAAGAAAGAAATCAAATAAATAAATATTAATATCTTGAAAATCAATCAAAATTCAAGGCATGTCCGTTCGGACGGCGCGTTCCGGTTGGACGAGTGCAAAATTCGCCCATAACCCATAAACTGTTCATAAATTCAAACACCCACGAAAAGTATTATTCACCCAAAAAGCTAACTCAAACAAAAGACATTCAACAATATGACTTTATGACTATTTGAATCGATCGTCTGGGCCGGCAAATTTTTGTGTGGGCCTTCAGTGGGTCAGCTGTGGGTCTGCACAGAAAAGTGATAGTAATTGGTCAATAAATGTTATGTTGAGGTTTCCTTCTTCCCTCTGCTCAGTATCACTTTTTGATCAGAATATTTTACCTTAATATCGTAAACTACATTTCCCTTGTTCTACATATAAAATATGCTAATTTATTTCCTCCATCGTTGATATAAATTCAACAATTGAAGAGGAAGTTCTCTGCCACGTAAATTTATGCCACTAATAAAAATGTGGAAAAAATAAATTAGCGAAATTCCGGAAATTGTAACAAATTAACATTAGCACAAATGTAATTAGTAACGCCGTGTTGGCGGGGCTTTTTATACCAGCTTGATTTTCCGTTGCGGTGGAATTGATTGAAGTTTTCTATACTATATATTTTATATAGTAATTAACTTAGAAATTTCAGCCTTTAGAAGAAGAACTTTCTGTAGGGAAGTAAAAACTCAGCTGCATCGGAAAATAACTTGAAATGCATGACAGGTGGCCAGGCTCATCGAAAGATATTTTCCTGCCTTCAAGAATTTTGATTACAAATTTATTTTTAAAAACCTTTTCACTTTCTGGTGGGCGTGTGTTTGAACAGCTTTCATTATTGACATTAAATGTTGTTTATTTGCTTAAGTTGTATACCCTTTCGATGACGAACTAGGAAGACACCGAAACAGCAGTCGTCGTCGAATCAGAAGGTGTTATACAATAACTCATTAATAATATTTTATTCTGGACAGGGAACAGCTGCCTCAACGATAAGATAGTGGGGTTTAAGGGAAAGTCATGCAGAACTTCCGTTCTATACGGCGGGGAGTTCAGGAAGGGGCTGCTGCTGGAACATAATTACCCGACTTTCCTAGCTGCAAGCTCCATTTGAGCTTCCGTTGTGGAGCAAATGCAGCAAATTTACCAATCCCCCATGCCGTTCTCCCGCTCCAAAAATGCATTATTAATTGCTTTGCCTTTGATTTATCTAAGGAACAGGCTCCAGCCGACCTCAGTGCCGGCACCACCCACCCCGAAAAACTTATGCAACCCTTGGAGCATTCGCCATAACGCTCCACTCACAATGTTTAATTGTGGAAATGAGAAATATGCGGAAGCGTTGACGATTCCGCTCCAGCGTCTGCTGCACTTGTCGCATCACTTGATGCGCCCAGCCCCATTTTCAGTCCCATTTTCAGCTCGTGTCCGTGTCCATGCATATGCCCCTTCCCCTGTCCATTCCGTACCCACTGGCTATCCCATCCTCCTTTCCACCCCTCGTTAGCTAGCATGTCAGTGGAATCGTAAGCCCTGCGTCTACACTGTGAAATATAGTTAAGCATTTTAAAGATTTTTTAATATGAAGGGTGCTTAAAAAGGTTCCAATTTTATACAAAATAATATTTTCACTCAAGTCTGATTAGAATAAAAGTTTTTTGTAACCAACTTAAGATTTTCTTAGTGTTGCCAGCATCTGTAGCTGTCTGTTCCACTCGCACACACGCTGTCTCGGCACTTGCCGCACTGCCCCGCCCCCTGCCATCCGTCAGCCGCCTAACCACCTCTCCAGCTCCCCTATCACCCCCCGCCGCCCGTCGACTAAATGACACAAAAATATGGGCTTAACCGGAAACGGATGTATTATCTGCGCTAACTGCGCTGCCACACACACAACAGTCAGTCGGGGCCAGGCCAGGCCAGGCCGGGCCGGGCCGAGCTGGGCTGGGCTGGGCCCAAAACTCGAGCTCGGGTCGTGGAACTAATAGAATATTATAAATCGTGCCCGAGCACGTAGAATGAGACAACCTGTCTTCTCCACTGACCCACGGATGACGATGGCCCCTTCCCGCCGCCAAATCTCCGGGCGGTTCTCGTTCGTTACGCTTCTGTAAGCTTTTTGGCTTGTGCTTTTTGCGGCTCCCGAACATTTCGTGTTCGCATGCAAAATTCCAAATGGAGTTTGGATGGGGAGGGGTGACTAGAATGCCGTTAGTTTAGACTAGAGGGTGTGGGATGGTGTGGCTGGTTGCTTGGTTTAGACCCGGCCTGGTCCACTGCATTCGCTCGCATGTCGTCGTCGTTGTTGTTGTCAAGCACTTGCCAACGCTTTCACTTTCCTCCCAACCTCTTGCCGGCCCTTTCATCGTTGTCAGTCTCTCTGGCAGAATAAAATATAAAAACCGAAAAACTTATACTATGGGTACATTGACCCGCTCTCAAGAGGCCATTGTGGAACATGAATAGTGCACGTATATTTAGACCAAGGCCGGAATCTGCAAGAGGAAAATCAATAAGCAGGGCTTCTGATTTGTAACTGAAAAATTTAAGAAGTTTAAACTAAAAACCTTTAAGTTGAACTTTAAAAGCTATTAAAGGAGAAGCAGTTTTCGAGGGAAAATAATCCGAATCTCTTTTTACCTTTTCACCCAATCAATAATCCAATCATGAAGAACCAGAAAAAGTTAACAATTTGATTGGCAACTGAAGGGTTAGTTCCATAAGTAGTAAGAGTATCTATTGCATTGAGTGCAGCTGCCAGATAACTGACATTCTCTCTGATACTCTCCCCTGCTCCTCTGGCATTTGCATGTCTTTAGCGAGGATCATGGATAAGCGTTGCCAGCTGATTGAGATTGAGTCATTCCCGGAACAATGGCATGCAACCGTCAACCATGAAGCATCAACCGTCTGTGAAAGTGATCGTGATCGAGGCCGCAGATGCGGCAGTAAACACATCTCGGGGAATCTCAATCCTTTCTACTTCTGCCTTGTATCCTTTTGCGTGTCACTCAAGCGATCAGCAAAATAACAACAAACAATGAAGGCAGAGAGGGGAAACGGCTAAGGGAAAGGGAGTTAGCATCCTTTGTGGCTGCTTTGTTAGCTTTGATCGCAGCTACTTACCATTTTCCACGACGTCTTTCGCATGCTTCGCTGAGTTTTCCGCCCTTCAGCTTGCTGCTAAGTTTTGGAAAATGTTAAATATTTATGCTTGCTATCATAATTAACACTTTGGTGAATCTCTGGCTTATAATTTTTAAATTTCTTTCTCCTTCAATTTGTCTTTTAATATTCCTAGAAAGTTGGTTTTTATTTTTCAAATTTTAAGAAATGACAAATAGTTTAAGTTTTTTGATTCTTTTTGTGGAAAAGCTATCCAAAAATGTTTAAATAATATCAAGATTTCTTTTAATGAATCCTTATCGAGCTGGGCCCTGTATATATTGTCAAAATTTTGCAGTCGTGCCCCTCCAAGTGCTCCCAAAGAGAATGTTCGGTGGCAGTTTGTTAAATTCCTGGAATCTCTGGCCGCCTGCTCTTCAATTGCTAAACTTTCCATCGCATCAGCAGCAGGAGCAGAATCCTCGGCCTACAGTTCACTTTGAATACCCTCCGGGTCACCAGCTACAGCTTCGACCTCGCAGGATAAGGGCACCGCGAACTGTTCCGGAAGGCGATGCCTCCAGATCGCAAGAGTCAGGAAATGGCCCCACGCAGGAAGAGCTGTTCGTGCGACGCTGTTACATGATGGCTGGTCTGTTTACGATCACTATGGCAATCCTGGTCATGATTTTGTCCAAGGCCATTCCTCCCGGTTACGATCTCATGATTCCCGGCTTCATTTGTACGTTCCTGTCCCTGATGTTCCTCTTTGTCCTTTGCATTGCTCCTGTTTTTCGGAGGTTTTACTGGATCAGTTTCACTTTGTCCGGGCTGTTTGTGACTCTGTCGGGCTTGGGCGTGATCTTTATTCTGCAGGAAAGGAATTTAGTAAATATTTGCATTGCCCTTGTGGTGGCCTCCACCGTGACTGTGATCTGCTATTTGGCCGGAGCCTGTCTACCCAAGATCGTTCTTCCAGGCGAGACAACTATGTTGCTGCTGGTCATCGTCTTTGTCTTGGCTTCCGTCTTCGTGCTGATCATGTTTATCCTTACGATCAAAAAGATCTATCAAACAGTGTACTTTATCTTAATGGTCACCATACTGATACCCACATCCGTGTACCAAGCCGAGCTGGTCCATGGCAGGCGGTTCAAGCTGCCCGACTACGAATTTGTGTTTTGCGCAGACACCGTCTATCTGCACTTTCTCCTGTTCTTTGTGGCCTTCTACTATCTTATATGGAATCCTAACTGGTGAGGTTTCGTGGACATACTCAATCCTTAAAGAAATACCTATAGGAAAGCTTTGGCTTAATAAAAAAAAACGCATTTAAACTAGCTTTTGGAGGAAGTAGTTAGAGAAAGGCTGGAAATAATGGGTAAGCAGCGTTGCCGAGAGGCAATTGTCAGGACGCATGCCAGACCCAATCTCGAAGCTTGACCCGCCGGGTTATCGGTCGGGATGGACAACATTTACCATCAAGACAATGTCCGACCGGTGGTGGTGGAAGTGGTGGACCCCATGACCCAGTTCATTCGCAGTATCTACAACCTGAGCCTTATCTTCATCGGATTAACGATAGCCGCTTGGTTGCTGCTAACTTTGACTACCGTCCACGTGCATAAGTACCTGCCGTTCCCCACTTACGTCCTCGTCATCTTCATCTTCCTGGCTATGGTCTTCCTGAACTGCATTCCCAGTCTATCCTACTCTTCGCCCTGCAAGTGGATGATGACGAGTCTGGTGGTAGTCTGCACCATCATCTCAAGCTCCTACGTAACCGACATGCTGAGTCTGCTGACCTTATGCTTAGTATTGATAGGCGTTTCTCTGATCATCCTGGTGCTCAACTTCTCTGGTGCCAAGTGCCCTCAAGAGTTCCTGCCAGGAGGGGTTTGCTCCACTACACTGATGATCGTTCTGGGTCTGCTTCTGATCGTGGTGGCTATCGCCCAGCTCTGTACTGAAAATGTAGAGCTGCTGGACGCCTTCATTAGCATCCTGTTCATAATGGTGATCATTGCAATACCCATCCAGGCGCAGTTCAATCACGGCCGCCTGGATAATGTGGAGGTGATACCGAAGCGACATCTCATGGTCTGTACCCTGACCTTGTACCTGCACGCCATTATGTTCTTCTGCTGTGTGTGTTACTTCATCCTGGTGGAAGAGAGGAAAGAAACGGCCAGGCTAGCAGCAGAAGCGGCTATGAAAACGGTCTCCGTGCCCGAGAATGATTTTGATTGAGAAGACCCACGTAATCTTCTTGGATCCTCTAACAGTAGCGGTGACTTGTCGCTGGAAAGATCTAAAGGACTTTAAAAGTCAGGATCAAGACTATAAGTGTCGACATTATGCCATCATCTTGAGCATTAGTCAATGGGAAGGTGCAAATATATTTTTTAAAAGTATGACCCAAAGAGGAAACTAAAAATAAAGTCGAGACTTTCAAATTTTGATTTTTTAACTTATTTAAAAATGTAGAAAGACAGCCAAGCTTTCATTGTCAAAGTTCCATTAAATTGACTTGAAATCCCTGATCAACACATGAATGCTCAGAATGCACGCTGGGCGCCGTATGGCCTTCAAGGTGGAAGACGTGGAGGCGATGACCAACCAAATGATGGACCGGAGATCATAGTCATTGACCAACGGCAGCTGCGGGCATTCATCTACCGGGTGTACATGGCAACCGTTGTGCTGTGCCTCCTTTCTGCGATCCCATGGATCATCCTATCTGCGCTTTCCGTGAACGTGTACAAGGTGATTCCGGTGCCGCCATTCGTGTGGATAATCCTGGCCTTCATCATACTCACAGTGCTCGGCTGCGTCCGTCAGACCAACGAGCTGACCTTGCTCTGTTGGGGATTGGTGCTGGGTTCCTTGTTCTTCATCACTCTGTACGGAGCTTACTTTATGTATCTGGTTTCCGCCCTCGTTCTCGTGATGTGCATAGGAATCTCCGGCTGTCTGCTGGCCCTCCTGCACTTGTACGGTGCCAAAAGTCCAGCGCCTCTGTTGCCCAGCATCCTCTGCACATGCTGCATCTTCCTGCTGGCCACCATCACGATGCTCGTTCTCATCATCCTGTACCTGGTCATTCAGGATTTGCGCTATCTGCTGGGCTTTGCCATCGTCTTCGTCATCCTGATCGTCTTCATGGCTCCCTTCCAGGCCCGCTATATCACTGGGAGGCTGCAGCAAGTGCCCTACGGGGAGACAGCGAGCTGCGCCAATGGAATCTACTTGCACTTTGTCTTCCTGGTCAGCTGTATGCTGATGTTCGCCTTGTATTATATTCACGTTAATAATAAAGAGGAGGAATAGGTGTCATTTTGGCGTTAGAGGTAAGGCTTACAGTCTTGTTAATGTATCAAAGAACATAAGTAGTCATTGCCTTTTTTGCTTTATTTTTCGACTAAACCAATCTTCAGAAATCTAGAAATTGAATTAATCTAATGCCACGAATAAGAAGAAGCACTTTCGGTAATTTCAATAATGATCCTGAAGTGTTTGGCGAACTGCCGGATCACAATATTAGTTATGCAGCAAGAATCTATGGATTGACGGTCGCCATGGCCATGTTCACTCTGAGTCAGTGGCTCATCATTGGCTTTACCAATGTAGTGGGTCATAATAGGTACAAGGAGCGATATGGCTGGTGGCTAGTGTGCACGTTTTTTGCCGTGGCCACTCTAGCCTGGACCAAGCTGGGACGGAAGAGACCGTTTAATTACATCATCATTGCAGCCATCGTGGAGAGTTCCACCATCTATATAGCATTGGAACAAAAACACAGTGCCAATATGTTGGTCAACTTCTATGCCGGCATTGTGGTTGTTGCCTTGATGCTGGCCTCCGTTTTTTGGGGCGCCTACTTTCCCATGTTCATTGTCCCGGGCGATCTGCTGCTCAGCATTTTGGTGGCCTTTGCCTACCTAATGATGATGGTATTCTTCATCAATGCCTTCTTTTTTGACTACGATGGGATCTACGATGCTGTTCGCAATGTTTTCGCATTGGTGGCCATCTGCATGGTCATGTACACGGCCACCATCATCCATGATCGCCAGTTCGATGTGCCCAAAAGCGAGTATCTGTTCCTCAGTGTCCTGCAGTTTTTCTCCTATATGATCTTGCATGAACGCATCCTGAACATAGCCTATCATAGTACTCAGACATTCCGTTGCTAAATATCAAGTTTGTCTTGGAAATCTTTAAGGCAAATTACAAAATCTCAAAGTTAATTTTAATAAATAAAGTAAATTGGAAGATAGATCGCTGCCTGGAGTGATTAACCCGGAAGATAACTTTGGGATCTCAATTTGAACAGATAATTTTGGTATTTTTTCCATGCATGTGGCTTGGGTATTGTTCTCATTGTTTTTGGGACTTCGAACAGAGTTTCTTGGCATGCGCCAGATCCAGACAATGGCTGATTGTCTTGAAGTGAAATTAATAAATAAACCGCTAAATTGGCAGTGCAACGTGTTTCCATTTTGCTGGGGCGTGTGCGGTGATGTCTTTTCATTCACATGTGATTCAGCAACCTCTAAAAAGTAGGTAAACAGCAAAACGAAGATCTCATAACCGGATTCATAAGTGCAATAAATATCGTAATAATTCAGTTTACTAACAAAAACTGTGTAAATAAAGAGACTCAACCGTAACAGCTTCTTGAATAATCAAATAATATTATTTAGGCAAAGAGAGGATCCAAGATCATAACCATCCCCGAGCAGCTTTTAATAAGAAACTCGCTCATCGCGCATCGATTAATCCGTTGGAAAAAACGTAACTCTTATATGGAAAATTTACATAAAGTATCCTCTACTCCACTTCTATCTATTTGATAAGCTGCCGTAACCGAAGAAGTGCTGGATGCACTGGAAACAGGATTAGATAGAGCAGGGTACTGGACTGTCCAAGACCAAACAAAGCGGCAGCTGGGCAAGACAAAAGGATAGCGGATCGCGAGTCCCTCAACAATGCAATATCCACTTAAGGTCCAAGCGAGGCGAGAGGAAACTCGTTATGAGTCACACAAATCTCAGACTACGCGGCAAAAGGGTCTACGATCCAGATCCAGATCCATCCAACTATCTGCCCGTCTTATCCATCCGTATATCTTGGCAATAGCAACCCTTTTATACGAAGGCGTCGCGGTCAGTCGCGAAAACAATCAGCGGCCATAAATGTTGATTATCAGGATGATAATAGTGTGCGTAGCGATAGTGATGATGATGATGACGATGGTGATGATCAACGGCTGCCACCACCAGTGGCACTGAAAGAAAAAGTTAAGTTTTTCAGACTTAAAGAAGTTTTATAGAAGGGTTTCACATATTCGTCTTACGGCAGAGCATTTACTAATACAAATATAAGAAAACGTGCACAAATTTAGTGACGCTTTTGTGTTGGTTTGCAGCAGTACACTAAAAGAATGAAGAACTGTTTGGCAATACCACTGCGAAATAAACTCCAAAGTGAAAAAGGAAGTTGGAAAAAATGAATTTCAGTGCAAGTGCTTTAAGATGATCCAGGAAAAAAAGAACAAAATATATTACAGTTAGCGACAGAATGAGGCGAAAAGAGGAAAACTAAAAATTCTTAGTGGAATAGCAGAGTTCGAGGATGGCCGAGGAAGAAACAAAAACAAATATATGCGACGGAATGAGGCGGAAAACGGAAAACGAAAAATTGTTAGTGGGATAGCGCCGCGAACGCTCAAAGCTTATGGGAGAGCAAGTCAAATACAAATGCGCTCTCAGAGCATAGGCCTTCAGTACTACTGTTATAAAGAGATAGACGTAGAAAATGGGAACAAAATATGACTTAATAAAAGGTTAAGTACGCAGTTTTAAGTCAATCTATTAGATCCATAAAAAAAGGATGGTAAAGTTAAACATAAATAACAATCAATATATAAATTTCCTTTAATTTACGAATCAAAAAAATAATTTTTTATTAAATTAAATACTTTGTAAAAAGAATCTCAATAAAATTAATACCAACATTTTCCTGCCAGTGTAAGTTTATCTTCACTTTCACAGCAGCTTTCGATTCCAAGCATCTGGACCCGATCTGCACAGAACTGACCTGAGCTAGTTACCTTTACCGGAAAAATCTTACACGAAAATCGTGGGAAAATTCCCAAAAGCGCATATCGAATGCAATTAAACGTCTCGCGACGTCTCGCGGTGGTTACTTTGCCCACCCGAAACCCAATACCCGATGGCCAGGGGTGGTTGTTAATGCGCGCGGAAAACTTACGCGTTTTCCTAACTCTCATTTTCACCCTCAAAACGTAACACGTTCGAATGGAAAATGGGGAAAAAAGTGGGAATAATTCAGCTTGTTGCGTGGTCAACGCGTGATTTACCTTTCCGGTGACAAAAAACGCGGAAGCATTGTAAATCGAGTTGGGAGAAGGGGGCTCGACTTTTCCGCCCAACTTCTGCTAACGACTTTGGTAGGCGGTTTACTGCTGTTTATGTGTGTTTCCCTTAACGTGGGAAAGCCGGACTTCAATGTCAACTGGTAGCTGGCTATCGAAGGCTTTCGCATAATTAAATGCAACAAAATGTGGCAGCAGCAGTTTGATTTCTCCCCAGATAACTGAATCCAGGGTGGTGGAATTTGTCATAATCGCTTACATTAGGTCGTGGTCCTAATGGCCAAGGCAAAACTAGTCCGGAGAGGTTTTTTAATAATTTTTTTTAAACAAATTTCAAGGGACTTGGAAACTTGGAAAACTTTTTTAATACTTGTCATTAATTTTATAAAATTTATAAGAGAACTTCTTAAATCTAAAGTCAAATCGATGTTTTTTTAAGGAATAAGTAGTCCCGGAATTATGCAAAATCGGCCACTGTTCTACTATCCGCCCTTGAGATATGGAGCAGAGATTGGCTTGGGAGCTGCCGGACAGCTGCACGGAAGCCATGCAGGTGCAAAGATATTTGTGGCATGTGTACAGTTTTGCCATAATATTCTGCATGCTGTCGGCGTTTTCTTGGCTAACATTATCAGGAACTGGAGTTATCGTAGAGCATTACATTGATTTACCATCCTATATCTGGCTTATTTTGTCCCTGGTCTGCCTGTTCACACTGACCTGCTGGCCACAGATGAGGTTCAAATATCCCTGCAATCGAATTCTGGTCGTAATCGTAGTGATTTTTATAAGTCTCTATGGATCTTATTACATGAATTATGATTGAGTTATGGATCCTGTTTGAGACTCTGCTGGCCAGTGGAATGTCGGTTTTACTGTTGATCCTGCCTGGGGTGAAGTGTCCCCTGAAAGTGCTCCCCAATAACTTAAGTGCCACTATTGTTCTGATTTTAAGTGTCATATTAATCTTTGTATTTGGACTGCTTTGGTTTTTGTTTAAAAGAAAAGTTTTTCTCTTGGTGTTAGCCTGCGTCCTGTATGTTTTGGTCGCCACGTACATGGACGACGGAATTTTATACCCATGGACGATGCTCCAGTAATTTCATTGACAATCTACATATATTTTATCTTTATTTTTATTTGTATTATTGTTTTTATATATATACCCCAAAGTAAATTAAATTAAAGAAAGAAATTACTGGTTTCGGGTGTTAATAAAATCTGCAAATCTCATCTACAAACTGACGAAAGGGTTCCTTAGATTGGTTAATAAATTCGAATGCATGTTGGGTTCAGTTTGGTTTTCTAAATTGGGAACACTTTCTCAGTTCTTGATTTTTCAATATACATTTTTCCCAATTTGCTACGTTGCAACCATCTTGACAGCTTTAGTTCCCCCAAGAGGGAAACTTGGTGGGGAAGTACCAGAACCAATGGCCATTAACTCGGAGTCATCGGCATATCTTGGTTCCGTGGCTTAATGCGAAATAATTACAACTTGTTCGCACATCATTCAGCCCAAGTTGAGAAAAAATTATCTGTCAGCTCGACGTCCCCTTCATTTGTTTGCCCAATGACGAATGTGACCCTCCAATGACGAACGATGGCGGTGATGGCGATGATAATGATGATGATGATGATGAAAACTTCAAAACGACACTTGCCTTGTTTGCTTTTTGCGTTTTTTTTGGCTTTTTGCAAAAAAAAACTCTTGTGGGCGCGTCGGTAAAATTTCAAAGTCGGCATCATTAACACCAATGCGCCATTTTGGTATTTCGATGTCGATGAGTTGTTGAGTGTTGATGGTGATTGATGTAACTTTTGAGCCAGCCAGCCAGCCAGTCAGCCATCCAGTCAGCCAACACCACTTGGAACCCGAACCCGATCTCGAGTGAGTGTACCAAATTGGTAGCTTGCTGGCCCTTCCCCTTCCCCTTTCCAGCCCAACTCCTGCTCTCCCTCTCAAAAAATGCAGAAACCCTTAGGCCGTGTATTTGTTGTTTTAGTCCGCAGCACCAGGACCGCGATCCCCTGGCCTATGCTAATTTGTTATTTTAAGCATGTTTGTTTGCCTACAGCCCAACTCCAGTCTAGGCCCAGCCCAGCCCAGCCCAGCCAAACCTCTGGCCCTGCAGTTCCGGACGAAAATATTGACAAATGCGACGGGCGGAAGGGAGCGGAAGTGGCTGTGTCTGCACCTGAGGCGAAATCTACTCTGCAACAAATAACAAACAAGTAAACCAATTAAAGCAAAAGATACAATTTGAATTCGTAATGGACTTGGGAAATGTTTTGAAATAAATTTGAAAATAATTTAATTTTAAAGGATAAGAGTGGTAGAAGGGCAAGGGTGATCGAAAAACCTAAGGAAAGTAATTAGAAAATAATTTGGCAACTCATAATATTTGACATTAAGATTAAACATATTTCTAATATTTTTGTGTTAAAAATAAAGTTCTTTTCTCTGGAAACTACTTTACACTTTCAAAAGTTCCGATTAAGAGCTTCCTATCACTTTTATATTAACTGTGAATAAGGCAAATTAATTGGAAAATAATGCAGAGAATTGAGAGAAAAGTTAAAAGGGGAAACTCTACACCCTAAGAGGGGTAATCTGTGCCATCCCAAAAGCAGAGTCTTACTACTGTTACTACTTGAAGGTACTTTTGAACCGTGTAAACTTTAACCAGATTCTCAATAGCGCCTCATTAACCCATTTCGGAAGTCTAGGACTTTTGACAAGACTAATCTGGTTATAAGAAGACCCGGGTGGCCGTCCTCTACCAGTTAAAGAATTACCCAAAAAATCTCAGAAGGATAACAAGTTCTAACCCCAAATAAACTATAACTCAACGCACTAATTACGTAAGAGAGAGAGAGACAAAGGTGGTTGGGTCTGACCAAATGG